GGGAGGGGGGAGAATAGGGGAACCCATGGCTGATATGCAGAACTGAATTGTATTGTAAAATAAAATTAAATTAAATTAAAAAAAAAAGAAAGAAAGCAGGTTGAGCAAGCCACGAGGAGCAAGCCAGTAAGCAGTACCCTTCCATGGCCTCTGCACCAGCTCCTGCCCTATTTGAGTTCCTGTCCTGACTTCCTTTGGTGATGAACAGTGATATGAAAGTATAAGCCAAATAAACCCTTTCTTCCCCAACTTGGTCATGGTGTTTTATCCCAGCAATAGAAACCCTAACTAAGACAAAACACTTAAACATTACCTGCGTTTTACAAATGAAAAAAAAATGTATTAGTTTCTTTTCTAGTTACTGTGAAAAAATACTAACCAGGAAACAAGGGAAGAAGGATTTATGTGGGGGCTCATGGTTTGAGAGGGATGGGATGATAGTGTTCATGGTAGCAAAAGAGTATGACTGGGACTCACATCTGGAAGGACACGGTTGCAGAAAGAGGTGAATGTGCATGTGCACCCCATGTTCCCTTTTCATTCAGTACAGAAGCCTGGCCTTTGGGACAGTGCTGCTCACATACAGGGTAGATCTTCCTTCTTCAGTTAAACCTCTCTGGAAACTCCCTCACAGACACACCTCAAGGTGTGTCTTCTAGATAAGTCTGAATTCAGTCACACTGACAACAGAGATTAACCATTACAGGAATGTTGAAATTTGTAAAATTGCACAATTGAGTTGCAATTTAAACTAAGGTCATCTAACCCTAGAGCCTGTGTGCTTAAGGATTAAATTATACTGGTCCTTAGGGATATGTGAACTGCTGACTGAGAATGGGTGTGGGATTCTGGAATGTCTTCTATGGTGGTGAAATAGCTATAAATATATGTCAAAATTCAGGGAGATTAACCTTTAAAGTTGTACACCAGACTGTACATGAATAATATGTCAAAATAAAAGAAAAAATAGAATCTGACAAAGGTATTTAAAGGCCAAATGTTTTAAGCACAATAAACAGCAAGTATCCTAAGGTTAGTTTTTTTTCTCCTACTTAAATCCCTCATAGTGGACATCATACCTATTACTGATTAAACTTCAAGACACTCTAATTACCACAGAGTCCTCCCTTCATCTCTTCCTACTTTCAATCTTAATCCCAGGGTTGCTCTAGCTTTTCACTAAATCCTTTTCTCTTTCCCACTAACTCTCAGATTCCCTCCTCTCTGTTTCTTCCTTTCTCTATTTTAATGAGTGAGTTTTAAAAAATTTTCATTACATTTTATTTCTTTCAGGGATGAACACATATAGGCCACAGCAGCATATACAAAGGCCTCCAGACCTTAGCACAACTGACACCATGTTGGACAAACCATTCTGACCTAGCACATAAGCCCCAGCATCTGCCAAGATGGAAGTAAAGACTGAAGCCATCAAAGACCTAGTCCGTAGTTCCAGGATCCAGGAAAGTCCCTAAATGTACTAACTTGGCTTTTTGGCTTCTGTAGTTTTGATTTTTGCTAAGTGTTCTTGCTAACTGAAGTGAGTCAACAGGGATGTGGGTTTTGTATATAAAAGACACAGGATGGTGAAACTTAGGGCTGCACGATTTGGGCAAGTTCCATGTGAAGCCACCAGCCAACAAAACAGACTTTCTATTTGGCTTTAAAAGTGTCCATGTGTGTTCTCTGGTGGAATTACCTCACAAAAATACATTCCATAAACTTGTGGGAACTGATTCTCTCCTACCTCCATGTGGGTCATGAGACTCAATCTCCACATAGGTTCTCAGGCTTAAACTTGGGTCCTTGGGCCTGGAAGCAAGATCCTTTACCACTAAAGCCATCTCACCATCCTGGGTTCTCTTTCTAAGTCCACTGTGAATGAAATAGAACAGGAAACAGAAAATTAACTTTAAATACTTATTCACTCATTTTGTGTGTGTCTCTGTGTGTATGGGTATGTATCATAAGTGTGTGTGTGTGTGTGTGTGTGTGTGTGTGTGTGTGTGTGTGTGTGTGTGTGTGTTTGAATACAGGTACATGCATGCAATGGCACATGTGTGGAGGTCAGAGGACAACTCTTAGGAGATGTTCTCTTCTACCACCTTGTGGGATCTGGGGATCAAACTCAGGTTGTCATGCTAATCCTCAAAGTTGTCCTCGGACCCCCCACATACATGCGGTGGCACACACATGCCCACAAACATACACACAGAAAATATACAAATAAATGTAATTTTAAAAATGTTAAAGCACTGTGATGAGCACAAGGCACAGCATTAACCAGTAGCACTTTCCCTCCCTCCCTCTTCTCCCTCTCCCTCCCTTTCTCTCTCTCTCTTCCCCCTACAGATCAGGATATAGAACCCTCAGCTACTCCTCCAGCTTACCACAGATTAGCCCTCTGAAACTGTAAGCAGGCTTACTATTGAATGTTTTTTTTCTTTCTTTTTTGGTCCCCCCCCCTCCCTGAGACGGGGTTTCTCTTTGTAGTTTTGGTGTCTGTCTTGGATCTCACTCTGTAGACCATGCTGGCCTCAAACCCACAGAGATCCGCCTGGTTCTGCCTCCTGAGTTCTGGGATTAAAGGTGTGTGCCACCACCTGGCAAATTTTTTTTTTATAAGAGTTGCCTTCATCATGGTGGTCCCCCAACACAGGAGTTTAGACAAGCAGGTTTTTCCATGGGAGCTAGAGATCCAAACTTAGGCCCTCATGCTTCCATGACAGGCACTTTTTCCAACTATACCATCATCCCCATAGCTGGAGACAATATACTTTTTATGTAGAAATATTTTCAAATGAGAATTTTTAAATATGGAAGGTGCAGAGAGAGCTCAGTGGGTAAAGCGCTTGTCTGTAATCCCAGAGCTTCTATGGTAAGGTGGGAAGTAGAGACAGGAAAATCTCCCAAAGCTGGCGGACTATTCCCAGATGCTTGAAGGCTAGCTAGTCTGGCATACACCAGGATAAACAATATGAGAATATGCAACCCTTGTGACCTAAAATTCAGCCTTATCAATGGTAACCCTATACAATGCACATCAGGAGCCACCAAGATCATTTATAGGACTATTATAAAGACACATAGTGGGATTCAACTGAAAACCCTAGACCTGTGTGCCTCTATTATGCCCTCCCCATATCATGCTTAAAATCTCTTCCCTACAAACAATTTTGCTTCATACTGGCTGTGGTGGTTTGAATGAGAATGGTCCCCATGGGCTCATATATTTGAATACTCAGTTCCCAGTTAGTGGAACTCTTTGGGGAAAGTTAGGAGGTATGTATAACCTTGTTGAAGTAGATGTGTCACTAGAGGCAATCTTTAAGATTTCAAAGGCCCATGCCATACAGGGTGGTTCTCTCTGGTCTGTGGTTGTGTCTCAAGATGTAATGTGCTCCAGGGCCATGCCTGCCTTCCTGCCTGCCTGCTGCCATGCTCCCTACCATGTTGATCATGGACTCTAACCCTGGGAAAACATGAGCTCTCAAATTAGAGTTTCTTTTAAATGCTGCCTTGGCCATGGTTTCTTATTATAGCAATAAAAAAAATAAGTAAGAAGTTGCTAGTCCTGAAATAGCTTTCTGCAGTGAAGTCAAGAATCCTATGTTTGCCAGGCATGGTGCGCACGCCTTTAGTCCCAGCACTCGGGAGGCAGAGGCAGGCCAACCTCCGTGAGTTCCAGGCCAGCCTGGTCTACAGAATAAGTTCCAGGACAGCCAGCCAGAGCTACATAGTAAGGCCCTGCCTAAAAATAAATAAATAAACAAATAAATAAAGTCGGGTGGTTGTGGTGCATGGCTTTAATCCCAACACTCGGGAAGCAGAGGCAGGTGGATCTCTGAATTCAAGGTCAGCCTGGTCTACAGAGCAAGTTCCAGGACAGTCAGGGATACACTTGAAAAACAAAAAACAAAATACAACAAAAAACCCCTATTTCATCTGAGTAGAGATCTATGAACTCAGGCTGCTATAGGTAGCACCAAGAATTTGTGTCTCTTGTCTGTGGCCTCACTTTCTCTAACAGCTGCCAGGAGCCAAGGAAAAGAGAAATGGCAAGTTGTGGTTTAAGGGGTACAGAATTTTTCTTTGGCAAGATGAAAAAGTTATGGAAATACACAGTATTTTAAGTAGTCTAGAGCTACTGATTGTATTTCCCAGACATCAACCAACAGGCTTCATTGCCACTCTTGATTGGTATATTAGTTATCCACTGTTGATAAAAATTACTCCAGAAGATAGTAGGTTGAAACAACATTTATTATCTCACCAATTCTGTGGGTTGGGAACCACTGTCTCTCTTTCATCTGGCACAAGGTTTCTTCTGAAGTGGGAATGAAAGTGTTTGATGGCAAAGCAGTCATCTCAGGCACAACTAGGGAAGGATCTGTTTCTATTCTCACTTAAATGGTGGTAGGCACGATTTAGTTTCTCACTACCTGTTGGTCCAAGGGTCTCGGCTTCTCACTGGTTGCTGGGTAGAAGCCACATAGTCTTTTTCACAGAGAAGCTGAGAAAACAGTAGAGAAGCAAGTGAGAAAATCCACAGAAAGAGTAACAAGATGGAAGTCAATGTTTTTATATCCTAATTAAAGATGTGAAAGCATATGCTTTTTACCACGTCTTATTTGTTAAAAGTCTATCGCTAGGTCCAGCTCACAAACAAGGTAATGGATTATACAAGGCATGAATATCAATGAGGCAAAGATTATTGCGTAGAAAGCAGTAACAGCTGGACTAACATCTGTCTCTATTTAGTAAATAAAGATGAAGAATTTCTGTGATTTGCTGAAGCTTTGAATTCTACATAAGTTCTTTTACAAAATTTGTTATTAAAAACATTTTTGAATTGTATTCTGCTGTGTACAGAAAGGCTACAATATTGCTAAGTGTGCTACTTTATATGGACATCATAGATTAGGTGTGGAGAAACAACTACAAGTCATACTGGAGTTGGACAAATGATGAATCACTGATGAATTCAGCTCTGCTTGGGCTTGGTTGCTGGGAGATTGCTGAGATCTTACACAGCTATTAGCATAATACAATTTGAAAACCCATACATGGGGTGAAAAAATACATAAGGAAGCAAATCATGATATTGCTGTCAATAACATAGCAAACTCAAGCTGACGTTTAAGAGTGACTTAAGAATCAGAAACATGTAATTTTGTTTTGTTCATTCCCTTTAGTACTCTAATCAGAATGCAAATATACTTCCCTCATAACAGGATATTAATAAGCCAATTCACTCATCCTCAGTCAAGACAAGTTACATGATGTCCAAGGAATTTAGAAGTATCTTTGCCATATGCTTATCAAGATAGAATCACAACCACTACATATTAAAGTCATCATGAATGAAACAAAAGTATATACTTCAGATAAAAAGATATGTCAATGTATTGAAACTACCTACAGAGAATATAACTGGATTACTGGAACCTGAGAAAAAACAATGATATAATAGCTGTTGAAGATGTTTTCGTTCTTCTCCAGAAAGTGCTCATACTATGGCATATACAATAGAACAAATGAAAATGGAAGAACCAAGATCACTGGCTTCTTGAAGGCCAATTATACTGTTCCATTGTCATATCTGTAGAACAAAGTGGAAGGACAAATTTTATTCAACTGACTATATAGCTAAGTGCAAGCAAAAGAAAAAAAAGGCAAAGAAAGAAAAAAAGAAAAAAGACTTCCCCCTAAAAAGGTTCAAAAAATATATTTCTTCACCTGGTAATCAAAGCTTTCATTTGTGGGACTGATTCTGAAGATGAATCTTTAGCTAGTCAATTCCTACTCAACAGAAGGAACGCTAAACCATTTTAATTTTACAGCAGCATGAACACTAATAAGTGTCTCATGATGGCAGGGTCAGGCAGTTTCTATCTGCTACTCCTCCTTCCCCCTTAAGTGAAAATGAGAGCCTACCTGGCTTGTCTTCAACTTCCAGATACACACAGGATTCGGCTCCCTCGGTCCTTGACTAGTCTGCACAAATAAAGCCTGAGTAGAAGTAACACTGCCTATCTATTGAGGGATGCTATCAACATTTCACTGCCAGTGGTGGAATCCCCAGTCACCCTTCCCTCCATCTTGAGGAATCCTAAAACTCATCTGGAACTATGGACATGATAAAGTCTCCATTTGATTGCTATGTTTCCATCTGTGCAAACTGACATGTCATGAAGATACGTAGTGCAAACAAATCAGAAATATTTGCTGTTTAATCCCAGTGAGGGGGTGGTTAGAGTGATGGCTCAGTGGTTAAGAGTGTACACTATTCTTTAGAGAACATGAGTTTGATTCTTAGCACATATGTTGGGTGGCCTGTAACTGTAACTCTAGGGGATATAATACCTCTGACCTCTAAGAACATCTGCAAACACTTGCACATAATTAAAAATAATAAATATTTAAACAGAAAACAAATCAACTGAATTTGAGTTTGTTTCGAAGGTACACACTAATTAATCCTGGTTGGTAAAATGTTAGTATCAGAAATGTAAAGAATAATAACCCCAGAAGCAAATGATCGGCTTAAATTGAGGAGAAATATTCATGCATGTAATAGCAAACTCTCAATTTTTGAATACTAATATTTTAATTGAAAAATAAAAATGATATATTTACACTATACGGCATGCTTTGAAAATATGAATACGTTATTCAATGACTAATTGTATACCAATGCTTTAATTTAAAATTATACAATTTTTAAAAATTTACATTTCATGTATATTTTTATCTCAGAAGATAGTGACATTCTGTTTCTGCCAAGTATCAATGTTTAATATGCAGCTGTTTGTACTCAGCCAAAATACATATTTGATGTTCCTCTACAAATAATGAATAAAAGCTCAGTTATGTAGCCTTTAGTTAAAACAGTTCCTTGACAGAAATCCAAAATGTTTTGCAAATGAAGTCACAAGCTTATTTTACTGAAAAATACCTTGATCTTTTTTAATCCCAGCTTTCTTCATTGCCATTCTGTCTCCTATCTGGCCTCTTCTGCTGCCACCAACTGGCTTCCACTACTGCTAAATTCCAGCAACCAGCAGGATTCAATTCAGTGCTTTGTTTTGACTGCTGGGCTCCTGGTAGGAAAATCAACTCAGATGAATAACTACATTTTTAGGCTGGGAACTGAAAATCACAAATAACTCATTTCCTTCACATCTAGGGTTATCAGATAGCCACACAGTAGCTGGTACTTGTCCCAGCAAGTGGTCCAGACAAAGCTCCAGGCTAACAAAAGAGAAGCCATTTCCACTGTTAAATTAATAGTCTCCTCCCAGGAAGGAACAAGGTTAAAACCACAGAGCCATTATATAAAAGCAAACAAAGGTCAAATCAAATGTAACAGTGTACCAATAGACTTGGAAATTCAGAAGTACAAATTCTAACACATTCATACAAAATAACGTTTGAAAATAGTATGTAAATAAAAGTTCAACCATGTTTATTTAGTTTTGTGAAATTTTGAGCAGTAAATATCGCTTAACTTTTTGTTTCAGCCAATGTCATTTTTTGTTAGAGGAATTAAAAGATTAAAAATCCAAAACTATTTAAAATTTACTATTATAAATTAAAGTTAAAATTTTAAATTATAGCCAGGTGGTGGTGGTACACACTTTTAATCCCAACACTCAGGAGGCAGAGGCAGGTGGATTTCTGAGTTCTAGGCCAACCTGGTCTACAAAGCAAGTTCCAGAACAGCCAGGGCTGTTACACAGAGAAATCCTGTCTTGAAAAACTAAAAAAGGTGGAAGGGAGGAGTGAGAGAGAGAAAGAAAAATAAACAAAACAAAATAAAAATTAGTTTAAAGTATAAAATTAATTTAAATAAGCTTTCAGGTAATGGTTTTTGTAAGTGGATAGCTATCATTTATACTTCAGAAATTCTCAAAGGTTATCACAGTAGGGAAATATGGAAAATCATGAATCCACAGGGTGCTTGAATGTCAACATTTATAACACTAAAAGAAAATTCAAGTCATTTTTAAAAGCACAAAAATAATGCATACAACTAGGTAAAACAAAACCAGTTTTGAAGCCAGAGAGACATTGCCCAGCGAGCCTTTTCTTTCTGACTCCAATGCTAGCATGCTCGCTGGCTCACTCAACAGCTTTGACATAAAACACAGTACCATACTTTGCTACAAGGCTAGAATGTTTAGATTACTAGTTCCACATGAGTGAAGCAAGTGAAAAAAGTCAGGGCATACAAGTAACAAAAGTGAAGAGAAATTGCTCACAGGAATATACCTAAATAAGGCCTTCAAGTTCACCTGGTCTTGAGTAATCAGGAATTAGGTTCCAACTAGCTTCACTGTAGACAACACCTATGGTATGTATCCTAGAACAATTGTCTAGGTTACATTACAGAAACTTGAAGGCCACTTTTGCTTAAAAAGAAAGAAAAGAAAAAGAAAGAAAGGAAAAGCCAAACCAAAACACCTCACAAACACAAACAACAAACAAAACTGTTTTTCTAGTACCTATGGACATCTAATGCATGACCAAAATGGCTTGGCATCTGGCCTCATATTGAATCTATTCCCTTGGTTGTCCTAACTTTTCAGACATGGTTTCTCTGTAGCTCAGGTTAGCCTTCTAGACATGCCGAGCCCTCTGCCTCAGCTTCCCATGTGCTGTGATTATAGACATGAGCCACCACACCTGGCTTTGCTCTCTTAACCCTTGAGCTCACTGTACTCAGTCAGTTTTCTATGTAGAGATATTGACTTGAGTTCGAGACTAATGTGGCTTATTACCTGTTGGAGGAACATTCACTATTTTCTACCCAACCCTTACACTTTTGTGGCAGCCCAAGTACAATATACCTCAGCTCTATAAAGTGGAAAGCATGCTATGAGGCTAGGGCATTTATGCCATGTGACGACAATAAGAAAAGGAACTCAATTGCTCCAGAGTCAAGTTCTAAAAGACCTTCAGAAAAGCAATAATGCCAGCAACAGGATGAACTCAATTGTTCCCTGGATAAGTCACCTCAGGTTTGCCCATCCGGTACAAGACCAAGATGTTTGCTGCAAAGAAAAAGAGCATCTATTGAAAAGATGCTCACAATTAATGAGGCAATTGCCAAATCACTCCACTCTCCCCAAAAAGAATCAGTAAAAGCATGCTGCACCTTTTCCTCAACAAAGCAGCCTGATAGCTTCTGTCTAGTGTTAGCTCCCTTCTGCTCAAGAGCTGAAGTCCCAATAAAGCTTGCCTGTCTTGTCTGCCGTACATGACTTAGTCTCATTTCTGTTGATCCCAGCATCCAACAGTAGCTAGCTGGAAGTGGAAATAAAAGGACCAGAAGTTTTTTGTGCTGTGTAGGGGGGATTCCGGGTCAGTAGGGGATACAGATACTTTGTTTTAAAAAATGCAAGCCAGGCAGTGGTGGCTCATGGCTTTAATCTCAGCACTCGGGAGGCAGAGTCAGGAGGATCTCTGTGAATTCAAGGCCAGTCTGGTCTACAGAGTGAGATCCAGGACAGGCTCCAAAACTACACAGAGAAACCCTGTTTCGAAAAACAAGACACACACACACACACACACACACACACACACACACACACACACACACACACACACACA